GTGCGCACCAGCCAGCCAGACAGACAAACGGATCGACTCCAAATGTCCTGAAACGGATTCGGTTCTCTTTGGACCGGTCTGCAATCGTTATTTCGATGAGGCACGTTTCTGCCGGCGATTTTTTTTCAAAAATATTTTTTAAGAAATTTGAGAATGTGATTATTTATACCCTCAGCTATATGACTACAGAGTATGACTGAGGGTATAAATTATCACATTCTCAAAATTCTTAAAAAATATTTTTGAAAAAAAAATCGCCGGCAGAAAACCCCAGGATTTAAAAATCCATGTTCGCAAATATGAAGTTTTACCTCCCAAAAAGAATTTCTTTAAAAGGTCCTTTTTTCAGGTGCAATTTTTAAAATTCACTTCATTTTTCCCACCTCGAAAGAAAACCCAAGGATGTCACAAAATGTTCCATTTTCTCTCCTAAAATGAAGATGTCCAAAATCACTCTCCAAGGATGTCCAAAATCACTCTCCAAGGATGTCCCTAATCACTCTTACTTTTCGATATCCACCACTAATCCTCAACAATCACCTGCTGTGTATTGACATTAAATGCATCTATCCGAACCAATATGTAAACAAAATGACACTACTTTTCGTTATTTCTTTGTTACTCATTGGTTCCACCTCTCTCTCTCTCTCTTTTTAAATCTCTCACACACACAGTTTCCAATAGCCATGTTTGAGTCGCATGTGATAAGTATTTCTTAATATCCTTTTAAAGGGCCACTTAAATATGCGTCTTAAAGTAAAAAACACATGTGTTTGTATGCATGTGCCATGTACATGTGTGTTTGTGGGTGTGTGTGTTTAAGTACGTGCTATAAAAATGCAATTCGTTGTTATTTCTATTCTTTGGAATAATTTCGACGACAAAAAAATCAGGAATAGGATGTAAAGAGAATAAGAAGGAAACATTGGGGTGTAACGAAACAAAAAAAATGTGCGATGAGAGAGCGTAAAGAAAAGAAAAAATTATTTAATATCCAATTCAAAAAAAAAAAAAACAGTAAAAAAATCTTAAAGTCAGGCGGGGCCGACTTTATGATACCTTACACCACTTTGCTAATCGAGTAGAGCTCCACATAACAATTAAAAGTTTTTATGGTTTTATGGGTGAATTTAATCATACATAATTTAAAGTTCAAAAGACTAAATATGCCGAAGCATTTGTATATTTTAAATTCGGATTTTTATTGCCCATTTGATATATATGGGAGCTATATCCGACTCTGAACCGATGTTGATAAAATTTGGCAAAGATATTTCTGAGCTGTATTTCATATATTTCCCTGAATATCGTTGTTATGGAGTGCATATTACGGCTGTGGGTAACAAATATAACAAATCGGATGAACAATATATATGGGTGCTATAGCTATATCTGAACCGATCTTCATCAAATTTGACATACTAGCTTCTAGACTCAATTCGGTTGTAAGTGCCAAATTTCATCCCATTTGGGCAAATATTAGACGTTTGGTGCACAATAAAATGTAAATCGGACGAAGATATGGGAGATATATCCAAATCCGAACCGATCTCGATAAAATTTAGCAAAGGTATTTCTGAGCTGTATTTGATATATTGCCCCAAATATTGTTGTCACAGAGTGCATATTACGGTCACGGAGGACTAAAAAAACAAATCGGATGAACATATATATATATTGGAGCTATAGCTATATCTGAACCGATTTCGATCAAATTTGGCATACTTATTTTCAGGCCTAATTTGTTGTTGTATGTGCCAAATTCCATCCTATTCGGGCTGATATTACACGTTTAGTGCACAATAAAAAGCAAATCGGATGAAGATATATATGGGTGCTATATCTAAATTTTTGCCGATTATCTCCAATTTCAATAGGGTTCGTCCTTGGGCCAAACAAATGATCTGTGCAAAATTTCATCTGAATCGAGCAATAAATGCGACCGGTACTTTGTTTACAAAAATACATGGACAGACGGACGGACGGACGGACATGCATAAATCGACTCTGAATGTGATTCTATGCAGATCATCAAAAGGAACTATGGGTCTATCTCGTTTCCTTTTGCTTGTTACAAACAAATGCACAAAGACATAATACCCTGACCACCTTGTGGTATAGGATATAAACGGGTTTTGCTGAATTTTCCTGTTATTAAAATATCGTCATTGGAGAAGATGGGATAATGCTAAGTATTTCAGATAGCATTCTGGTCAACCATTGATCGTATCGACACTTGAGAAAGTTTAGGGAATATACGCATCTTAAAAAGCCTCAGAAACCTTTTGAGAATTGTGACTCTAATTTACCCGAAAGGAACCCAAACAAACAATTCACAATAGAATCAATGGTTTTTAGATTTTGGTCCTTACACTTAGGAACAGGTATGAATGGCACATTCCCCTCTGTAGAATTTCAAACGAGTATTGAATCTCTGCAAGCATATTGTACTGATCGGAAAGTACAATATGCTCGCAAAGATTCATATCAGATCATTCATTAAAAATATTTCCCTTCTTGGTGAGGAAGGACATACAACCCATTTTGAAGTGCTTTTTTAAAATTCCGCATTTCACAAAATTTCATTTCGGATGAAGATTTTTCAAATTCCACCTAATTTGTTGTATCTCAAGGCAAATATACAGGGCTCGCCATATAACTTAGCTCATGTCTGATTTGAAAGATAATTAGTTTTATCCTTCCACTAAAGGAATATGATTGTGTATCCGTTTCAACAAATGTTGGAAAAAAATTGCGACATTGATTTGAAAATAATGGCAATATTGCAGAATTTGTGCGAAAATTAAATACGGATTTTGGAAGAAGAGAAACACCGTCAGATCCGTGTGTAAACAAGCAAAATTGACGTATTTGGGCCACAGAACACCCGCACGCATTCATTGAAAAGCCGATGCACCCAAAACGAGTCACGGTTTGGTGCAGATTGTGGTCCAGAGGCGTATTTGGACCATTTTTTTTTTTTTTTTTTCGAAAAAAGAGCAAAAATGAGGTTACGTTATCGGACCATGTTGAACGAAGTTTTGTTTATAGAAATTCAAGAGGAAGATTTTGCCAAAATTTGGTTTTTTGGAGTTGGATGTTTATTTCGCTTTCTTTGAGCGTTTTTCTTTTCAAAATCTTAAACCTTATGTGGGGGAGGTACCAGAAAAATTGGTCCGGTCTCTACCATCTTTACAGCAGATTTCGTGTCGATGGAAATATTGAGATGTACCAAGTCTGAATGGAATCGGATGTTAAATTCGCGTTTTGTGAGCTTCGTGAATATTCAAAATTTTTACCCGTTGTGGGGGAGGTACCAGAAGGAGTGAACCGATATATCCCAATTTCACAGCAGATCGTGTGTTAGTGGAAATAATGCGATGTATGAAACATGAAGAGTACCGGATGCTTATTTCGAGTTTTATGATCGTTATGGTTATTCAAAACTTTGACCCTTTGTGGGGGAGGTACCAGAAGAAATGGTCCGATCTCCACCATCTTTATAACAGATCTTGTGTTGATGGAAAAATTGAGATGTGCCAAGTCTGAATGGAATCGGATGTTAATTTCAAGTTTTTTGAGCTTCATAGATATATAGATATTTTGACCCTTTGTGGGGGAGGTACCAGAAGAAGTTGAACGATATATCCCAATTTCACAGCAGATCATGTATTAGTGGAAATAACGGGATGTGTGAAACATGAAGAGTACCGGATGCTTATTTCGAGTTTTATGATCGTTATGGTTATTCAAAACTTCGAACCTTTGTGGGGGAGGTGTCAAAAGGAATGGTCCCATCTCTACCATCTCTATAACAGATCTTGTGTTGATGGAAATATTGAGATGTGCCAAGCCTGAATGGAATCGGATGTTAATTTCGCGTTTTATGAGCTTCATAGATATATAGATATTTTGACCCTTTGTGGGGGAGGTACCAGAAGGAGTGGACCGATATATTCCATCATTTCGTCAGACCTTGGGTTAATAAAAATATCGTTATGTGTGTAATTTGAGGACAAACGGGCACTTACATCACATTTTATAAGAGTTATATTTTTTTCCGAATTTTGACCCTTTGTGGGGTAGGTACTTAATGGAGTGGACCAATAATGTCCACTTTCGCACCTGACCTAGCACTAATGCAAATATTAGGATTCACAAAGATGGAACAAAATCCGAATATCCTTTCCCTTTCTGTGCAGTAAATTATTTTCTTTGGAAATGTTGACCTTTTGTGGGGGAGATACCAGAAGGAGGGGACCGGTATTGCCCATCTCCGAACTCGATCTAAATTTCATAATAATATTATGATGTACCAAGTTTGGACGAAATCGGATACTCCCTTCGTGCGCACCATTCAGCCAGATAGACAAACAGGCGGACGGACATCGCTAGATCGACTCCTGAAAATGTCCTGAAACGGATTTGATTCAAAGAGGTCTTAAACCGTTATTTCGACGAGGCAGGTTTTGGTCGTATCAAATGATATAGCCATATGGCTGAGGGTATAAAAAGAAATTTTGAAAAAAAAATATTCCAAAAAAAATCAAAGAAAAATGTTATTTGGAGGACCCTGTATTACAGGTGGCTGGTTATCACTTCAAAATTGTCTTCTACCAATACGAATGTTATTTTCTCTTTAAAGTTCCCACTTAGAACAACTATTACCCAAAGATGTTATGTAGATAAAGATCTTATTTCTATCTCTTTCTTACTTCTTCAGGACAAGACAATTTAAACAGATAAGAACCGTTCATTACCACGAGAATTTTTACAACACATATATTACGGCCTGGCGTAGAAATAGTTCAAAGCAATAGCGGGTGTTGAATGATTTGTATTTGTTCTGCAGTCGATAGCAGGTACTTCTTCAAAAATTGTTTACACAATTTTCCACATTTCCACTTTGTTTGAGTGGAAAGTGAAAGTATTCCCAAAAAATAAATATAAACAAAACCAAAGGAAAGGAAAGGAAAGTGGGAAAGAAAAACAAAACTTACTTCAGGTGGATCCCAAACACATTCGCCGGTGGTTAAATTGGCATACATATGCTCTTTGGTCCGGGGTTCGATGATTTCCACCCATTCTATCCTGTAATTGGGGAAACAAGAGAGAAAGTATTAGTTAATTACATAAAATAAATGAAATTCAGGATTATGGATATGATACTTTTATAAAATTTGTAAAAAGTGTATTTATAAAAAATCAGAATTGTAAGTGGTTTTCAAAAAATATTTGAAATAATCCATGACTAGGGATGGGTTTACAAAATAATTTTTTTAAATTTATAAATTGAAATATAAAATTTATATATTTTTTTTTTTTAAATTTATGGATTCATAAAAAAAAATCATAAAAAATTGATTAAAGATTCATTTCTAAGCCACTCGTCCGACAGCTGTTAAAATTATGCCAGTGACAGTTGTTTACAAGCTTACAAAATCATTTTGGTGAGAATTTTTCAGAAAAAGGGTTACTCGTGATGGAAATCAGGCGTGGTAGTGTGATTTCTTTATATTTGGCTGGAAAACCACAAGTGGCTATCGTAAGAGCACTCCAGCATTTATATGTGAATAAATCTTTTGTGTCTCGTACCATCGCTCGTTACCGCGATACTGGTACTGATAGCGTAGCCCGGCGTCAAGGAAGTGGACGGAAGAAACAGCAAAATCAATAGAAATGGTGCTTGATCGAAATCCGCGTCGCATTGGCCGAAAAATGGCTCGTGAGCTGAACATATCGCAAAATTCCATTCGGCAAATATTGAAAAACGAGCTCGGGGTAAAGCCATTGAAATTCCAAAAAGTGCAAGAACTTACATCGCAACAGAAAGAAAATAGACTGAAAAGAATTAAGGAGTTGCTTCGCCTCTCCGAAAGTGGTGAACTGCCAATTTTGGTTTTCTCCGATGAGAAAACATTCGTTGTCTAGCAGTTTGTAAACAAACAAAATGATCGTGTTTACTTGCCAAAGAGGTGTGCTGAAAATGTTCACCTTCGGTTGGCCACCAGAACTCAAGCGCCGGCCATGGTGATGGTGTGGCCTGCCATAACAGTCGATGGTCGCTCTCCGCTCTTATTAATCGACCGTGGCATCAGAATAAATGCCGAAAATTATCGCGAAAATATTCTGGAGGGTGTATTAGAGCCTTTGGTATGCAATCCTTTTGACCGCAGACCTTGAACATTCCAACAGGACTCACCACCATCGCACTCAGCTCGCGGCACCCAAGAATGGTTACAAAATGAGGTTCCTCGCTTCATTTCCAGCGCACAATGGCCACCAAAATCTACGGATACCAATCCGTTGGACTATTGCGTCTGGAGTATTTTGGAAAGCAAGGTTGGCACTAAAAAATGCCAAAGTGTCGATCACCTCAAGCAAGCGCTTCGCCGGGAATGGGCCAAAATACCGCAGAGCAGCATTCGGGTAGAGTGTGACGGTTTTCTTGGCCGTTTGAAGACCATAATTCGTGGCAAAGGTGACCAATTCGAACAAATCTAAACTTATTCTAAAATTAGATGCTATATCCGATATTTAAAAATGAATAGCATCTTTGTCATCTAACATTTTGGGGGGTAGAAGCTCTTTATCGAAAATCTAGTCATTCCCTATAGAATTCGCAATTCGGGTAGTGAGACTTCCTTCAACCAAACCCTAAATCTTATTGTCCATCCTGAAAATAATATTCAACAACATCTACGTTTGGGCCCAATATAATGCAAAATGTCGATCATTCAATTATTAAATTTAATGTTAAATTTAATAGAAAATGTAATTCAATACATATTGCAAGTCTAGCTTATGCAGCAATTTGTGCTTACATAGCTAATCATGGTTGGGTATTAAATAAAAAGGAAATTATTTGTAAATTCCATTGTAATTATTTTACTTTCCTTTTATAGCACTTGCTAGTTTAGGTTTCTTTTTAATTCCAGTCTATTATTTATAAATATTTATTAATGGACTTGATGAATTATAAAGTAATGATTCGATACGTTGCTCTTGTTTGGTATAGCAAAATCGCAAAGAAATTTGAAATTTTAATTCGGAATTTGTATTTAATTTTATCGGAATGTTTAGAATGCTATGCGTAATTCCTTCATTGGGTCATAAAGTCTTCAGTGTTACAATATATAAAAATACTACATATCTTCATTTTAAATAAGTAAAATAATCTAATATATATTTGTCTAAATCCTTCCCAAATTGCAATTGAATAAACTACCAAAAACAAAAGTTTAATGGAAGTGATTCCTAAAGGGATTTAGAATATGAGACGTTTAATTTCGTATTCAAAGAAAAATGAAGAAATTATCGATTAACTGAGGATACCGTTGTGGAAGGAAAACATGAATCTATAAAGACAGTGTCATACGACAGGAGGCAGAACTCATTATATACTCCGAATCCCAAATTTGAAAATAATTCCGTTGTGCTACAATAACAAATATCGGGATATAGGGTAATATGGAAGCCCTAAGAAAACGAAGACCTTGGTAGAAAGTGATTGCTACGTGGTTGGTCTCTATTGCGAACATCAAATACCAAATTTAAAATTCTTTCGTTGAAAACTGTAGCTAAAATCATCCAAACACCTGGAAGTATCTCCATATGGGAGCTATATAGGTTATATAGAATATATTCTGCATAGGCGGTAAAATCCATTACGATCTCTAAATACCGAATAATAAACAAATCCGATAAAAAATTTGGCTTAAATTGTGAAAATTCTGAAAGTAGGGAAGTCCCCTTAAAGGGGGGGCTAAACGAAAACGTGTACCGATATAGCTCATTTTAAATTCCAATCAAATTATTGTGCCAAATTTCAAAACTATAAGTCAGACATAGATGGACAGAAGGAGGGACATCATCTACTCTGAATTTTATTATGATGACAAATATATATAAATTATTGACTCCCCGCGAATATTTGGAGGTGTTACAAACGGAATGACAAATTCGTCACCTCCTTTTTAGGTATAAAATTGAAATGACATTTGTGGAATGCCAATTTATCAAAGTAAAACGAAAAAAGAGCAAATCTAGGTTTTCCTCAACACTATGGGATATAGTAAAGATTTTCTTAGCTGTTCATGACGATGCATGGTTTTTACTCCTCACACCACTAACTTCTCCCAAAATATTAAATTTTTCCTCCATTTTATGTTTTGCAATCCGACAAGATCATAATTTTTTGTGAAGTTAATAATTTCAATACGTTGTTGAAGCTTGTTTCATTCCATTCTCAATAAGGAAGGAGCTTCTGCTTGTCAAATACCGGCCAAGACACAATAACAACTCTTGTTGAAAAACCCTTTATATGGCTCCTATGATAAATAATGGTTAATATTAAAACATTTATGGAACACTTGAAATGTACTATAAGCCTCTTTAAATCGTCCATTAAAAATAATTTCTGCTACTTTTCAACAATGTCCTAAATACTTCAAGGCCCTCCAAAAAATCTCGTACTTATTATATTCGATAAACTAAATCTTTTGCAGAAATCAAGTACAAGGACAATTGCGTTATGTATTTCAGAAAAGTAGGTAACATGGAACATGATTTCAACAAGCACATAATTGGTTCTTTGCAAAAAGTTCAAGAACGAGGTTTCATCACACCACTTTGAAATTTGGTCATATGACACTATTGTGAATTATGCAAGAACTTTAAGGGAGAATAAATAACATGTGAGACAAATTAACAACATAAACAGATATTTTTTATTTCAAAAATCATTTAATTTTACATTTATTTCCACTATTTAAAAGTTTATCGCAAAAAACACACAACACTCACATTCCAAATGACAGTAACGTAGGTTTCATTCACAATAGATTAATTTGGGGGATCCTTGTTGTTATTGTGACACATTACATCTGTTCTGTTTGTTTTGGGGGAAAATCGATTCGATGAGAATGAGAAACACAACGGAGAGCAACAAAATCAGCACGCCGGGAGAGTAAGCAAGACTCAGACTCTCGTGAGTACGTAAAGAAAAACAAGGAAGTATTCTGTCAAAGCAGGAAAATCTTCCAAACAATTAAAATTGCATTTATTAACTCCGACCGACGAATGTTGGCGATTGTGGCGGCTCTGCCACCGACAACGCCACTGAATGCAACATTTGCCGAAAGAGAGAGAGAGAAAACTTGTGAGAGCCCATTTATATTGGGTGGGTGTTTTTTTTTTTATTGTGGGGGAGGATAAAAGGGATAATACGGTGGCAAACATAAAATTGAAGTGGAATATTTTTGGTGTTTGACACAAGTCCAAAAAGAAAAACAACCACAAAAAGAAATTTTATGCAAAGTTGTTTCCATGAATGAAATAGTTTGCTTTGCAAATTATTGTTGCATTACAAGAAATGACCTAATTTTTATGATTGTTTTAAATTAAACAGAAACAAAGCCAAAAATCCCCCTAATTAATTTTCGGTTATTTTTCGCAGTGGGGTATATGTTGCTTTAAACAAAAAACAACCAACAAACAGAAAAATCATTAAACCACCATCATTGTTTTTGGGGGGCTACACAACATCGACTCATTAATTAAAGAAAACAGAAACAACAATTACTCAAAGACAATTAGCCCTGGGTCTTTGGCAACGACTTAAAGAAACTATTTTCTTTCGGTTTTTTTTTTTGCAAAACACACACCCAGACCGGACTCCAAGCCGTCATAGCTAGGCTAGTATAGGCGAAAATGCATGCCACCCTGCCTGGATATACATACCTTTCACAACTCGAACTCATTTTGTTGTTGCTGTTGTTGTTTTAATTTTGTATTCCATATAAAATTGTCGCCTTATTATTTAAAACTAAAAATTGTTATTTTGTTCAAAACTCGTTTATCCGCCGATTTCAATAAATCACTTTTTTAAGGTTTGGCTGGCTATTTAATTCCTTGCTGCTCCTTCTACGCTTCGTTCAATGGTTTGTTGAAGCGGCAGCCTGGCTGACAGACAGACAGGCAGGCAGAGCAGCTAAAAACACCCCACACACTTTTGCTTTGCTTTATGTGGACTTTTGTGTTGTTTTTGCTTTTTGTATTTTCCACCTTTTCCGACGATGTTGTCGTCTCTGCCGCTGCTGCCAATGCTTGGATTTCTTTCATACAAAACGCCTAAAAACACTCACATACACACACTCGGCAAACATTTGGATTTCATACTATCGCTCGCAATGGATTGGATTTTTTTCTTCTTCTTCTTGTTTCACTTAAAGAAATGCAATTTTCCACTCCCTTAAAAATCACTCACAAAGAACACAAAAACACAATTTCCTTATTTCTTCCTTTGGCATCTGAACATTTCTTTTTTTATTTTTCATTAATAATTTTCCATTCCTTTTTTAAAAGATTTCGAGTAGATTTTCTTTAACAAAAGCTTCCTTTCGAACTTTATTAGACAATCATCATCATTCAAATTTGCACTAGTTTAGTGGTTTCTTTTTTCTTCATTCCTTTTCAATCGGAAAAATTTTTTCCACACACAAGAAAACAATCGCCATCCGTCGCGTCCGATATAAAAAAATATACAATACAAAATACACGAAACTGAAACTGCATTAACCAAAAATCAAATGTACACATGAGAGAGAGAGAGTGAGTGAGTGAGCAGCAAACGCACATGACAGCTGTTTATTGTGAATTGTCAAGCTCAGAATGTGGCCAGATGAGTGGAAAAAAATTTTAAAATTCCCTCCCTTTTAGTTGACACATGAAATACCAAATTTTTTATTATTTTTATTTGTGTTTTGCTTTTGACATATAATGGCATTTTATTTAGTAGTCTATGCCAAGACAAAAATCAAGGCAACCATGTTTTTTATCACTAATAATAAATAAAATAAATAGGATTAAGCCAAACTATTTTACAACAGAAACAAGTAAAAAAACAGTTCGGCCGGGCCGAACTTTGAATACCCTCCACAACTTGAAACGAATTTGGAAATTTTCAAAAAATAAAATCCGTTAAAATCGTAAAAATACCGTATATAGCCGTTATTTTGGAGTCTATACGAAGACGTGGACCTGCAAAGGCAACTTTTGTCATAAGCCATTACAATATTCAACAACGAAACTTGAAAAAAAAATCCAGTGAATAATGTAGCTAAAATCATCAAAATACCGAATATCGGGAGGTACCGTTATATGGGGGCTATACGAAGACCTGGCTGTAGTATCAACTACGAACTTCAAATACCAAATTTGAAATAATTCCATTGAATAATGTCGCTAAAATCATCAAAATGCCGAATATCTATCGGGGCTATACGAAGACCTGGACCAGCGTAGACAATTTTCTGTCACAGGCTGTAGCACCCATTACGAATTCTAAATACGAAATTTAAAACAACTCCCATGAGTAATATCCGCAAAATATCGAATATCGGGGGTACCATTGTATGTGGGCTATACGATATCGTGAACCTATATAGACATTTCTCTTCCAGGGGATAAGTGCTTAGAAAGAACTTCTAGTATGGATTTTTAGACAATTCCATTGAAAAATGTAGATATCATCAAAATACCGAATATAGGAAGTTACTATTATATGGGCGATATACGATATCGTGGGCAAATATAGACAATACTTTTCCAGGGGATAAAATTCTCAGAAGCAACTCTTGTTGTGGATTTCCAGAATATTTAATAAACAATTTGGGGGGTACCGTTATATGGGGGCTATACGATATCGTGTATCGATATAGCTCATCTTCGAACTTGTCCTGCCTGCAGACAAAAGACTGATCTGTGCAAATTTTCAGCTTTCTATCTTTATTCGTTTTGACTCTAGCATGATTACAACAGACGGACGGACAGGGTTAGGCAGACGCATTGACACAGCTGCTGGGACAATGGACTGTCAAACCAAGCTTGGAATTGAAAATGTTGAATGAAAAATTATTTAAATTTGTAAAAATTTTTGAAAATGCGAATTATAATAACCTCCGAATGACGTCGTATAAGAAAACACAAAAAATCTACTTTTTTGACATATCAATGTTCCCAAGCGTTGATGCATCTACCTGTATTTTTCTACCATGGGGACAGTGCGTTAAGGAAACGATTACATTGTTATCGATTAGTTTCTTTTTACAACCACAGGGAAATTTAACGCGTTTTTTATTTTTGATTAGGAAAAGATTATTAACAAATTCTTTGGTAACAACATTGTGCCACGGGGTATCCTTCATATAATTAAATTATAAAAAATCATTGGCGGGTAGATCTTTTATTTATTGTGAATGATTACTTTGTGTAAATGAAACGATTATTATGTTATCGATCTCTTCTCTAACTGATACAGGAAATAACTTTTGAAAAATAAACATAATTTTATTAATTTATTAGAAACATTTCCATACGTTAATCAATTTCCATAACAAGGGATGAGATAATTGGCAGGAAATACCTTGTAGTTTGATCTTGGGCAGCATAAAATACCTGATCCGAAGATTTCTTTGGTACAGATTTGTTTTGGAAGTGCTCCTTCAGACAAAAATCCATTAGGTTTTCGGACTAAAAACTTCCAATTTTGGGCTTTCACAAAACATTTGTGAAAATCAAAAATTTATTACACTTTTTCCAGAAATATTCTCTATTATAAGTAAAATAAATTTTTGCTCTGTTCTAGAACTGCAAGACTCTAAAAATGTTAACTAGGATAACCGACTTTTCTTTATAGAATTTCTTATTTACGATTTCTTTATCAAATCTCTTCCTTAAATGAATCTCCGTTAGGTTTGTTTTTTCATTAATTTTAAAAATATTTCATTTTATTTAAAAATTATACAAGTATACATCATTTTTTGTATAAACTAAAAAATAAAGAAAATTATAATAATAATAAGATTGCATATATGTAAAAAATATATATTTCTTTCCAGTACTCAATAACAATCAGCGAACAGGGATTCATCTTCGCATTTAATGGCAATTAGTATGTCATCTAACAGTGATATAAAGCTCGCTGAGCCCAATAGCCAGTCGTTGTGATTTTTCAATAACATTTTTAAATCTAAACTTTTTATGGCACGCATAAACTCTCGCACACCCACCGTCGTATAGGCCTTGTACAGATTTGTGTCAATCGTGGACGTGGGCTTCTCTATGGGTATACCGTTATTCATAAGATCCATTTTTTGTTCATATTGTGCCACCAATAAATTGATATCTTGTGATTCTAAAATATAATCGATTGCTTCATCGGATTTGGAGTTTTGTTCTGGCGAGGTTGAGGGTGAAGCTTTGGCAGCGGTTGGGGGTGACTTGAAAACAATGTTATTGTTTTCACCAAAATCGAAAAGATCATTATTTAAATCTTCTGTGGGCCCCAGTGACGTTGGACTTGAAACTGGGGTGGTTTTGGCACTGCTATTATTGGAGCTGGTCGTGGAGCTTTTCTCCAGTTCATCAATCATAGATTCGAAATTATATTTCTTTAGCTGTTCCAATAGGGTGTGAATTAAACATACCGCTGTCTTCAACACCTCCAAATCACAATCGTCTTGCAAACATTTCAACATCACCCCCAAACAGCCACGTTGTGAAAGTTCATGGAACACCTTCATGATTCTCAATTTGATTTCTTTTTCGTTGAGTGTGACAATTTTCTTGTATTCTTTGGAAAATGTCACAGTGGGGAAAGTGCCATCGATCATGCCTTGATTGGTGAATTGCCGTTTGAGTTCCATGCCCCAGACATGCAGTACCTCTACCTTAACCTCCCAATGCAGATCGAAGAGAAGACAATGTGTTAATGTGGAGTAGAGGGTGTCCATATATTGTGGTGGTATCTTGCGATTGTCATAGATAATGCCCAGGGTCTTGACGGCCTCTTTGCGTACTATGCCCTCACTTTCATTGAACAAAACGGTGAATAAATGTTCCTGCAGAAAAACAGAAATTAAAATACTTAAATTTTTCCATTAATTTTGGGGACCATACCAGTAAGTCATTGTTGTTCAAATCATTTTCCCAAATAACATTTATCATGACCATTTTGGATAGACACTTTAAGGCTGAGGCCCTGACATAGGCTTCCTGATCATTCTTGGCCATTTGCAGGATAATGGGACACATTTTGGCCTCATAGAGGAAATTCTGGAATGCTGGAAATTCTGAAAAAAAAACTCCATTTTAAAAGGACACTCGCTTTCGATTTCACAAATACTTACTAACTCTGCTAATGCTTGCAATGGACGTGGTCAACTCCAACGTACTGTCTCTTACTTCCCAGGAAATGTCATGAAATCGTTTCACAATAATTGGACCCAAACACACCAAACCCGAGCCCTGCAGATTATCCACCAACAAGGCCATATTGGGTGATAGGAAATGCTCTATGGAAAGTTGTATTAGCTTCAGGGCTTGTACGGTAGACTGAAAAGATTTAACCATAAAAATAACCCTGCAACATTTTACCAAGGGTACCACACTTACAGCTTCAGTTAAATTTGGATTTTCCAATATCACAGCTACCATATTGACGACACAGGTTGTTTCAATGCTCTCCTTCCAGGATATTCGGTAACGCTTGATTAGCGTCTGCAAACCACTAAGGATGGCATTCAAAACATTCGGTATTGTCACCATGAATTCCAGGCCCACCCAATTGGGAAATGTGTCCGAGATTGGTGGGCTACCATATTCAGGTTTCCTCTCCTCACTGTACATTGTATTCGAATCACCGATAAACTCTTTCATGGCATATATCATGGCCTGGAACACCAATATGGCCTGTTCCCGTTCCAAGATGTTCTGCATTGACAAGATGCCATGTATGGCCTTATAGGCCAAATCGGCCACAAACACCAGCGATGAATTTTCCGAGGGTATAATGGCATCACGAAACCTATAGCATATGCGCAGGGTGTGCTCACAGGATATTTCAAACAATTTCATGAGATAATTATCGAAAAGTTCCTCCTTACGAAGGCTGCCGGAACGTAGCAGAAACAACAAAGGCATTAACTGAAATGTTATCAATTGATTTTCAAATTTAACTCTCTCAGTTTCGATTTGTATTTCCGTTGGGGCACGACTGCCCAGCTTCTTCCACAACACATGATAGAGTTCCGCTATTTTAATGCAATTTAACAATTTGGTCCGAGTCACACAGAATTTCATGGTATTATAGAAATTCAAACCGAAACGATTAAAGTGTTCCGGTGTTATCGTTCCCTCATCCCACTGATCCTGTACCAATGTGGCAAAATTCAGGCTTGTCAGGGTGTGAAGGATTTTATACAGGAATGAAGTGTTCTGTGTCATCTCCACCAGCTTCCATATGGTCAGCTCTAAATTGTGATGAGTTTGACATACATTTGCAATATTGGTTTTCTCCTCGGACTCCAGCGTTTGTTCGAACAAATACGACAACAAATCCAGTGTGGAGGACATTTTGTGTTGCAATTCGGAGTCATCAACATTTACCATTATACTCTCCGTTCCCACCTTGAAGACATTCTCTTGTATTGGCCTCACTATCTCATGTAATATCTCCAATACCGCTTGTTCATCTTTGGCCTTTACCGAGAAAGTGTAGATAATTGAATAGAGTAAATGGCGGGCTTCTCTCACCACATACAGGGTGTGATCACGATTGCAAAGCTCCAACAAATATTGCCAGCACTTTTTGTGACGAATGTATGCCATGCCCATGCTGTAACGTGATATCGAGGCCAACAGGCGGGTACAGCCCAGTTTAATGGAGGGATTAAAGCGATTCTTACTTGTCTCAATAATGAAAAGAGCCCTGCAAGTAAAATACACAAGAGATTTCATATCTTCCATTATCAATAATCCTCACCTACTTGTCCATTATCTGCCTTTCGCGCAACATCACCAGCACCCATTCATTTTTTGACATTAGACTGCAAAAGTTCAACATGAACGATGTCACCTTCGGATTGATCTTACCAAAATCCTCCGTCAATATGGCCATACACTTGTCCACCCATTCTATGGCAAATGGTGCTTGCAACACATACAAATTGTCTAGAATAATATCATCATAGAGAAGTTAGGCAACAACAAAAACAGATCACCCAAAACTTGCAATCTTACCTTTTTCCGATAAGTGTGTTATGAGCTTTTCAAAGTAAACATTGTTTGTGGGGGTAAAATTTTCCTGAAGGAAAATATCAAATATGCGTTGTAAACGTTTAAGCACCTGTTGTTGTTGTTCCATTTTTTTGGTATCAAAATTCTCTTAGAATATTATGGTCAGCATATTATTTAAATGTGGACATGGATGAGAGCCCGGGAAATGGTGTGTAGCTGATGAAATTCAATTGAGCTGACCGAAATATTCCTAATCAATGTGAGTTTGCCTGTCTTCTGCTGACAACAAATATAATTTAGGGATCTATAGGTGGGAATTGCGTTATGGCGGTTTGTCGATAATTAATCGATCTTTCATTTGGGAATGATAACACACGGAGAGATGTGTGAAGAACAAGGTAATGGGCTGAGTTGTGTAGTCCGTTATTTTTATATTTTAAAAAACTTTAAAAAAAAAAATTCGGGAAGAATAGACAATGAATTAATTCTGGTTCTATGATAAAGTAAAATGAAAACTTTTATAGAAGAAAAGAAATGTTAATAAATGCTCTGTTCCAGAATTGTAAGAATTTACATATTTTTACTACGATAACACTTTTTTTTCATTTATGATATCGGAAAATTTTCAAAACTAGTAGATTCTTGAATTTAATTTTATTATCAAAATGCGTACTCTGTTAGGAAAGCTCATCGCGCACTTCTTCTATTTTGAGACGAAGTTCATTTTTCGCTCCATGGGTACGTAAATAGGCAGAATTGTCGATTTTAGAGTGAGGATTCGCAAAACGTACTAATACATCCAAAAAAGATAACAGTTTGGTGCGGTTTATGGATTGGTGGAATCATTGGACCTAATTTATGCAAAAATACTGCGAATCGTAAAATAGTTGTGAATTGTGAGCGCTACCGTGAGATGAAATCCAACATTTATTGTCCAAAATGCAAAAGCTTGACTGGAATGGCATGTGGTTTCAACCAGACGGTGCCATATACCACACGGAACGCGAAAACAGACATAACAGACAAACAAACAGACAACAGACAATTTTTGTGGGGTTATCTCATGTCTATACAGACGGACCCACTTCAATTGAAGTAACATTGGATCGTTTATTCATGTGATCACCGAAATGTTGCAAAGAATATGTCAAAATTCTCAGTTCCAGAACCTACAAGAATCTACCAGATTTGCAATTTTGTTTCGATATCATAAAGGGAAAATCGGTTACCGTAGTAAAAACTTTTTTTCTTGCAGTTCTGGAGCCGACCAAAGGATTTTATGCTTTCTTTAATTTTAGAATCCTATATTTCGGGGTGTATGGAAATGTTTTATTGTTGTAACCAGGGTACAAAAACCTATCTGTAGTGGCTTTTTTAAGTTTTTATATCGATTATTGGTTTAGAAATACAAAGTAAAAAGGGGTAATTTTTAGCTTTGAAACCCTATATCTCGAGAAGTGCTGATTGAAAAAAATATCGCTGTGATAAGGATAACAAGAAAATTTTCAGAATTTTCCGCCAACTGGAGCTAAACTCAATCTGTTCCTTTTATTTATTTATTTATTTTATTATTATTATTATTATTATTATTATTATTATTATTATTATTATTATTATTATTATTATTACTTTTCTTTAAAGTACAGGTCCTCAATTCTTGTTCTATGAAAATGTGAAATGAAAACTTTTATAAAGGAAATAAATGTCAAATGAAAAATATTATAAAGAAAATATTTTTCATTTCATATTTTCATAGAACAAGAATCCAGCCCCTGGTCTGTCTTCTATAACCGATTTTTTCTTAATGATATCGAAAAAAATGCAAAAAAAAGTAGATTCTTGCATGTTCTGGAACAGAGCATTTCCTAAAGTTCTTTAATAGAAAACATCATTAAATCTTTCTTTTTTTATTATTACAATTACAATTATAATCAGCAGATGTACAAATAATTTTTTATTACACCTTGATTACATCTACTTTCGCCGTTTCGTACGATAATGGGAAAGAAAAAAGTATCAATCGATTTCCCCTTAAAAAGAAAGTAACGATGCTATCGATATTGACATCGATTGCTTGTCACTTTTAGTTCATTGTCGATTTTCACATCCCTATGCTGTTTAAAGAAATTTATATTTATTTAGGTCTTTAGAAAATATAAAAAATACAATTTTTACCCTATAATATTATCCTAATAATTGACGAAAATCAACTTCAAAGATTCAGCCATAACTTCTTTCACTAAAGTCATGCTGAGATATAGAAAATAGAACGATAGGGAAGTTCATCAAAATAAAGTGTAATAACATCAGCAGCAGCAGTAGTTGAAGTCGCAGCCGCCGTATCGAGAGACACCGAAAGGAATTGCACTTTTCACTAATCCAACAACAATTACGCTGGATATGGACAATAATGCAGACAACAACACGAAAACAACAACAAATTTAGCAAACACATCAACGCAAGCCAACAAATCATTATCGTTATCATCCTCCTCAATTACCCAGCAGCAGCAACAGCAACAGCATCAAATTCAACAACTATCCACCACAACAGTGACAGCAACAACAACAAGTAGCACTAACTCCTTTTGGAAGAATAGTAACAGGGTTGTGCCTGGTCGACCAAGTCCAAAACGTGACACCAGTACTTTGTCTGGTAAGGTTGCTGGGGCTGGTCACAGTGGCGGTATGATGGCAACCTTTCGTGATTACCAAAATTCCGTCAGTGATGCCTGGGACACGGGTGATGATGAATTTTGCATAATATCGAATGCCACGCAACAACAACAACAGCACCAATTTAACAATAGAGGAACCAATGTATCAGATGAATCTTCGGCACCCATCCATAAAACCGGTAATTTTTAGGGGGGTTTTAAAATTGTTTTAATTAATTTGTGGCACTAAGTGTCATATAATAAAAGATAAGCAATGTTTTCAAGATTTTTTTGTCAAAGATAACTGTTTTTTTTTCTTGCTTCTTTCCATTTAGATCCCCGAATATCACGTCAAGTTTCACAAACATTGGCTCAAAATGTCATTGAAGTTCATAAATCGTCAACAATGACAACAAACAGCGGTGGCATATCAGCGGGCGGTGCAACAGCTCAGAATACAATGACGTGTAACAATAATACGGCCAATGAGACTCACAATTCGATGGATAATGCTGTTAAGAATCCGGAGAGTACAACAGCAAAATCAATGCAAAAGGATTTGAAAACGCCAGAATCAGATGAAATAAGGTAAGGAATGTATTTCGGATAACATTATAACTTTGTAAAATTTAAATAATTTGTGAAGAAATCTCAATTTTTTAATAGTCTAGTAATAATAGAATTGAAGGCAATTGAAGCTTATTTTGAGTGTAAAACTGACCCATCACCTTTAGCAGAAAATTAAATATTTATTTTATTCGTTGTTGTGAAAGTCTGATACCTCGATCTTTTTGATTTTGAAAACAGTATTCAGTAAATGTTTGGTGTCAAATTTAAGTGGTCCTCCTCTTCTATTTCAAATAAACTGATTATGTAATTAAATGCTGACCTCAAAGTTCAACTGCCTTGAAGAAATTTTCCATAATTTGAATGTGTTTTTAATTCAATACGCACATTATTTTTCTTATTTCTTCTAGACCTCGAATTCGCCATATTCAAGCATTGCCTGGACGTCCACAATTACAAAAGTTTACCTCGAATTCTCAGGACTCCGAATATGAAACAAAAATTGAAAAATTCCAAGTTTTATTGGATTCACCGCTATTGGATTTAGTTGCTTTAAAGAAGCTAAGCTGGTCTGGTATTCCTAGAAAGGTGAGTTCAATCAATTATTTTGGTTTTCAATAATAATTGAATGATTCTATTAATCAATTAGTGGGTCAAAAATATTGTTTTATCAAAAACCTGCAAAAGAAAATATGCTTAAATGTCTCCAACCTCATTGATTTTGCAGAAGATGTATAATTTGAGGGTTTCGCATTCAACATCGTGAAATTGCTTTCAAACCAAACTGGCCTTTGAATTTGTTTCGTATAGACCCCAGCAATATTTACCAAACCACATGGTGTAGCCAAAAATATGAAGTGGTCATAGCGATATGTGAAAATACTTCAGTGCCATACAATATCCTCTAACATTTGTTTATACAGGGACCCCTTTCCCATTTTTATCCCCTCTGTAGCCATGTGGTTACAGAGGATATATATCATTGTATAAGGCCAAAAGGCATCCCATCGAAGTAACGTTTTTTGAGCCTATTTTCCCTTGGATCAAATCCATTTCTATACATTTGGAGTTAAACTTTAACCTAAACCTATCTTCACTATATAAGTCTTCATCATTGCAGATTTAACCTTCGAAAAAATCTCTTCCGTTCCATTGGAAAAATATTATTCTTTTGTTGTCCCTTTTTTGGGATATCGTAGTTTTTTGTGTTTCTTTTTTTATTTATTTATTGATTTGTGTGTTTACCTATTTACTTATTTATCTTTTTTGCTTTTCCAGATGCGTGCCATAAGTTGGCGTCTATTATCGAAATATTTACCACCTTCGGGCGAACGACGCAATGGTGTGCTGGAAAGTAAACGACAAAATTATCAAGACTTAAGACACAATTACTTTAGGGTTGACAGTCCCGATGAATCGCAACAGGATACATACAGACAGGTGAGAGGATTTTGAAAAGGCATTCTGAAAATATTTTTAATTTCTCCTTTTTTTTGCTACAGATTCACATTGATGTGCCACGTATGAATCCCCAAATAGCACTCTTCCAACAAAAACTGGTGCAAGAAATGTTCGAAAGGATTCTGTTCATATGGTCGATACGGCATCCGGCCTCGGGCTATGTTCAAGGGATTAACGATTTGGTTACACCATTTTTTATTGTATTTTTACAAGAGAATTTACCACCAGGTATGGTATTCTTAAGATGAGGATACATAAAATGCTTTTTTGACTGGTTTAAGTCATCGGCTGGATTCTTCGGAAAAGATCAAATGAGCGTAAAACTAAGTCAACCTAAAACTGCTTTATTCCTCCACGAAGAAGTCAGTCAAAAAAGTTTTTTTTTTATGTATTCTCACCTTTATCTCACAGTGGAATGTTAATAAAATGTTCTCCTCTCATTTTGTTGTTTCAGGAACTGATATCGAAAAATTCAATATGGACTCATTATCGGTTGAAATTCGTGATGCCATTGAAGCCGATGCCTTTTGGTGTCTATCAAAATTCCTCGATTGCATACAGGATAATTATATATTTGCTCAATTGGGTATCCAGGAGAAAGTGAATCAATTAAA